AGTGTTTAATGATTTGATGAAGAGAATTATACAAAAGGAAAAAAACCTGCAGTCTGCAGGCAAATATCCGAATAGAGTGGAAATCCACAGGAGACTCCACACTAGAGAAAGTCAAGTGAGAGAGAAATTAGAAGGTGAGTATGAGCGAGAAAGGCGAGCAAAGAGGGATCAAACCTTACTACTCAATGGAGTGTTGAGTGAATTCGCGGATTCACAGTTTGGGGTCTGTGAATGCAAGCCTGTGAATATTTATAAAGGGCAGTGAGCGAACAAGCCTGAAACGAGATGAGAACATGACCCATAGAGACATGAATCTGAGAGGATTTCTGACGGCGAACTTGCGAGAGGGAAGCAAAGGGCATCCGAGAGAGCCAGCATTTGAAGGGATATGAAAGCCTTGTGCCAAGTGACTTTTCCACCCAGACACTATAATACACTGAAGCTTCATGTAAATGCATGATCCTTCAGCGGGGAAAACTCTCGCCCTGCAGCAAGAGTTTCCTGTAGTTTATCAACCTACGCTCAACCCACCTGAATATTAACCTGGCGTTTTGATTCGTTACACTTGCAGATCTCGTTCCTCCATCAAGATCCTTTTAAGCTGTAGATGTCAGGAGATTTTGTTCGATGAAACCTTCTATCGGCCTGTCAGTAAACGCCGCTTTCACCAGAAATTATTGCAGGCTTAGCGTGAAAACGTGGACTCGTGCTTGTTCGACAGACACTTCAATGGTCCATGAAGGATAATTCAGGAGGGCTGCTGGGACACCTGCTAACACTATGGTGACACGAACAAACCAAAATCAAAGTGTTCTTCACAGCTGGAGAGGGTATGAGGAGGAAACAGACCATTCAATGAAAAATTAATGAGAGAAACGCTCAACATGGTGGCTATAGGAAAGGAGAAGAGTCCATTGGCTTATTAGCCATTTAGCCACAAGCCAACACCAAGGCATTGTTTTGAACGGAATAGAAAACTAGCATACTACTTACTGAATACTGTGTTTTGCATACTGTACACATCTCATTTTTGAGTATTAAGTGAAACAGTAGACATGTAGTAACAGTAGTGTACTACGTTGTAGTCACATGACTTCATTTTTAATGCAGTGGTATACTGCACATTTTGGCACATTTCTGCATACAGAACATAATAAATCCATTCATAAATCCATCTATTCATATACATACTTAATATATAATAATATAATTTATATACATTATGATTATTATTTATATATGTGTATTATAAACGTGTATATAAGTCTGGGATTGGGAAACATTGCCCTGGGGAATTACTAAGACAGTCACCAACTTACTTAGAGAATGACATAACAGCCTCTCAGTCAGTGTAACCACACAAACACGATCACCTGAGGCAAACAAACCTCCCAGCAGAGTCAACATATCGGCAGCCAGAGAGCTCAATAATGGTTTTGAGGGTTTCTACCACTCATTAGCAGTGCGCTAGCGGTGGAACGTGAAGATAAGCGTTGGATCGGTGGCCTGTGACATGCCACTCCTTATCTGACGGATCCATCGAATGTCTATCAATACAGGACCCAGAAAAATCCGCAAGACCAACGCCTGTTCGATCAGCCAACAGTCAAACTGCCCGCGACAACCTGATGGCCTGCAGGACGGCTAGTTAGACAGCCAATAAATACACAAAGCAAAGGATGAGGTGTGGACAAGCACACACAGAGACCTCTGAAGGCAGTTCAATGCCCTCTGACCAAGGCATTACGCTCTGGAGGAGAAGCACACAAATTTTCTGCTGAGAAACGTAGGGCAGATGCATACTAGCATCCATGCTACGTCACAGAACTCTGTGAATTCACTCTCTCAATGGATTCCTTTTAGTCAAACCCTCCATAAGAGCTGCTTCCAGCATGCTAAAGTTTAGT